CAACCAAATATATATATATGTAAACTAACTAAACTAGCTTAAAAGCCGCCCTATCGAGAGGAGTCAATGCGATAGGCAACAATTAAACTACAGAATTCGAAACTGATCGCTGCATTTAAGTATTGCATTAATATTTAAGCTTATATTTAAAACAACAATAATTCTTCTGCCGCTATTAATTTAGAGACAATTTGATGTACGTAGATCCTTACTTTCCGTACAAACAATTATTTTTTATTTCATGGGTGACTTTCGCTGGATTTCGCAATTAGTTTCGGTTATTCCCAAATTTATTTCCAAGATATAAAAATTGTCATCGTACAAAAGATTTGCCGCAAAAAATCACGTAAAAAATCGCCGAAAACAATCGTAGTAATTGCAGAATTGCAGGTCTGGATCCGGCCAGGAATTATTTTTTAATTTGCTCACGGAGTCTGCCTGATTCCAAAATGGTATGATATGTTGGGCTACTGCCTCTAGGAGTGACACACTGACATTCGCATTTATTATACAGATATATGTATATATATGCAGAGCGCAATGAGTAAATTGTCGGCATTTTATATTTTTAATTCCGCACATGCGCATTTTTTGCTTTTGATTTTGTTGACTACACAATAGGGTCAGTTGGGCACCTTCTTTGAGAAAAAGAGCACCATGACGCAATTCACTGCTTGGTTGTACTGCGTGTGCTGTACTGCTTGCTCCTATACGAACATTTCAGAGTGTTTGAGTGTCAAACTGAGGACAGTGCAGAGAATTCAGAAAGAGTTGGATGAGTCTAATGGTGATTACAAGGGTACCGCAGCTCAGAAAAGATGCTCTGATCGTTCTGATCAGAAAAGATGCTCTGATCGTTCTGATCAGAAAAGAACTTCCGAATTTGTTGTTGAAGGGATCAGACTCAACATAGAGGCTTACATCAAGTGTCCTGATGTTTGAGTGATGACCTGAGTCAAGAGGGTGGCTGCTTGAAGATCCTATGTCTGGCAACAAGACTTTGCACCATACCACACAAGCAGGAGAACCCAGTCATGGCTGCCAAACAATTTCTGAGACAACATCACCCCTTACTGGCCACCTAACTCCCCAGACTGCAACCCCTTCATTATTATGTGTGGGGCACAGTCAGACCAAAAAAACTTCTTGTAACATCAAAGATGAACTGAAAGCAAGGATTATAGTAGGATTAACCAACTTAAACACGGAAGCCGCCCAGAAACGTTGCAAGAGATTCCGAGGTCGTCTGGAGGCCATGGTTGAAGCCAATGGCGATTTTATTGAATAAATTTACTCTTTAGTATTTCAAGATATTTTTGCGTATTTTTTGTAAATTATCTATTAAAATGAGATATCTGTGTTATTTACATTTTTGCGTAATTTAAACGACAATTTAATCCATCGCACTCCATATATATATATATATATATTAATAAATATACATCATACACTACGCCGACAGTACGACCTGGAGTTTCATGCGCTATGCAACCTTAAGGCACACACATACACACACACATACATATATATGTATATATGAGAGAGAGAGAGTATGTGATAGTTTATCCATCGCACTCTGTGTATATATGTATATATATGTGTGTGTATGTGTGTGTGTGTGTGCGTGTGTGTGTGTGTGTGCGTGTGTGTGTGTGTGTGTGTGTGCGCGCTCTACCGCTGATATGTTAACGGCCATGATTGAATTTTTATATCAATCTCAAAATAAGAACAGCAAAGCTCGATCAGTGGCTCTAAAAATCTCTGAGACGTTCGACAGGGTTTGGCTTGCTGGTTTTCTATGCAATCTCCAGGGCTACAGTGTCACAGGACGAATTTAATCTAATCGTTCTTGTCAAAGGTCGTTTTGAACGGACGCGTAACACAAAGAGACGCCTATTACAATCGAACCTGGCGATCTGGAAGAAGTGATTCTTGCGGACTTTAGCGGCTGGACAGGCAAGAAAGAATCAACGAGATGATTGCACTTTCACTTGGTATTTCCCTGCAGACACGGAAGCTTCGATGCCGGCTTTTACCCAGGGTGTGGGGAGAGCTCAGTGATACATTTCTCAACAGGATGATTAAAAATAGCATACCAATGTGCATATCGAAGAAATAACAAAACGAGTCTCAATCAGTGCGTTGATAACAGAAATATGTTCTGTTAATACGAGTTTCTTTACTAACGGAAGAACGGAAAGAGATGTCTATATCTCAGAGATCAGCAATTTAGCTTGTGACGATCTACATCTCACACACATACGTACATACACAAATACAAATCACATAAAACAACAGGCATTCATTGGTTAATAAATCACCACTACGTTATTATAGAAAATTTGCAAATCGCAGCAATGCGACAATTTTGTAATTGCTCTATTTTCATGTAATCAATTTTGTGCACTTTTGGGAGAAATGGATCCCAGAAGCTTTCTTGAGTCTCCCCAAAACTCGCTCGCTGCCAACCAATCAGATTGTCTGCACGTGAAGAATAACTCTTCTCACGCAGCGATTCAGAGCCGATGGTCACCTATATAAGCAAGAAATATTCTTCGATAATTAGTGAGATTTCCACTGCCAAACGAATCCACGAGAGTTGAAACCATGCGCCTATCTTCTCACTCACACCACCACTCACATGCTGAATATTCCTTACACTCACATAATATTTTCTTACACAGCAAAACTGTTGAGAACATTTATTGCAAGAAACTATCACAAACTTTCTTTCAGTGAACTTTGGAATACAAAATAATAGTTAAAGAGAGACAACTCTTGCTTTATTCAACCTTTTTTCCTACTAAATGCATGCCTTCTTTTACATCCTGGTGTGCCGTCCGAATAAGTGAATCGTGCGATGCATATTTAAGAAATGATAATTAAAGGCACAACTTATGAATTGTTAATAATTAAAACAATTGATTTATATATATTTTTTCATTAGTATTTCTCATATAAACGTTTTTCTATTAGATTTTCTTTTTAATGCTTCACTTTTCAATTATTTAATTTACAATTTAAAGGAATGCCAAATTTGTGTTACGTTACATTTTTAAATTAATTTTTATTTTTATAAGCTGTCTTAAAACAGGAAGTAGTTTACTTACTTTGATTGACAACAACTTCCTGTTATACAAAAACAATATTATAAAGTCATACTTTTATTTCACTAGATTAAAGAATTCATAAAAATAAACACTACATTATTTGAATTACAATATACTAAAATATAACTCATAAGAATTAAGTGTCTTTTCATTCAACAATTAATAATTAATTAATTTCGTTGTTGGATATGCAAATGAGCCAGCCCAATGGTAGTGTTGTAGTAAGTGTGAGAACTAATAGGAAGCAGTGCGGCTTAATTTTTATAGATCATACTTTTAAGGATCATTTCTTAAGTATGCATCGCACGAACGTCTGATACTTTTGTTCGGACGACACACCACGATGAGGAGTCACAGTACTGGTCTCTGAGCGTGAAGCCGACATGTCCTTTGGGTGGCTCTGACCTAAAGGATTTTGTCATTGAGGATCGTTCCTCTCCCTTCTTATTATAAGGGAGTAGGAGGAGATCAGTACTTTCTGAGTGGTGTCAAATAACAATCAAAAATAGATTTGTGTAGAGGTCAGCTTCTCTTCCATTCCTTTTTATTCATGTTGTAGTTGAGTTCACTGATTTAACAATAACAAAATTATTTTGATGACTTCTAATTATCAAGATGAGATGAGTGCATTGGAAAACGTATATTAATTTATTGGTAATTTTCCCAACAATGATCTTCGTAAGAATGTAAAGGCGAAGTACTTAAAATTTAATAAAATATTTATAATTACTGGGCGGTTTAGAAAAATACCTCAAACGAATCGTTTACTTTGTATTCGTCATATTTTCCTCCTTACATAAATACCGTAAATAATCACCTCGACGTGGTGTAGTGGTTAACACGCTAGTCTCGCTAAAACAATTGCGATTGATTAGTGACTTTAATCCTATTACTTTCGGCCTTGTGCCATATTTAAGCTCAACTTAGAAAATCACCATTGATATCGCAGACATCAGGTTATTGGTAAATCAAAATCTTAGAGATGTTAGAAAAAAAATCAGTCAGTCGGTATTTATTTATATATATATTTATTTATATATATATATATATATATATATATATATATATTAAATAACAGAAAATAATATCCATTGAGCTAATTTCGTACACTTAGGGCGGGAAATCAGTGTAGCTGATGCCCCTATTTAAAAATATCATCATTCTAGCCCTCACCCCGAGTGTCTCTGCATCGAACACAGTTGTCATTGTGATAGGTAGGATGAGTTAGTCAAGTGCCATACTTGATACACGCTTAGCCGATCATGTCACTTTCGAATTATGTCTTACTAGGCAGAAGACATTCCCGCAGTAGATTACCATTTCTTTCTGTGTTCGACTGGTTGCTATACCTTGCCTAAGGGTATTTGTACATAAATGAATGTGACAAACTCGACAGAAATTCGAAGTATGATATCATTTCTATTGTAAATCTTTGAAATTAAAAATATAATTACAACAAATAAAGATTTACTTGCAATTTATTTCGAACAATTTCTATCAATGGTGTTATTTTAGCGGGCATAAAATAAACTAAAGGTTTTCGTTACAGAACACCCAACCAACATCTTATCTACAGCTGACATCATGGTCGCCTTTTCTTTGTTTCATTGATTTACTGATTTGTTTTTACGGCATTTGAAGGTTATTTAAAGCCAGAAAATATTTCTAGGTTGTAAGATTTTTTTGTTTTTTGGGGTTTTTTTTGTGATAATAAAGATTTATTGATACAAGCCTACTATTTAACCCATAGCTGGAGGGTGGAGAAGAGGTGGAATCATACTTTTTTTTATTTGTATGTAAGTGAATATAACGAACCTGACTGGAATTGGAACTCGGCTCGCCGATTTCAAATTGCCAGTTGTTATGCATTACACCACCTGCACATCCAAGCTTACAGCACCTGATATTTTCAAGTGGTCACCCATCTAGATACTTATCAGTCTCGACGTTGCTTAACTTCGTTGATCGGACGCCAACCGGTGTTTCATCGTGAAATGGCTGTTAGCCGTTTCTTTGTTTCAAATATAAAATTAAAAATTATAATTAAAAAATATTTTTATGTTTTAAGAGTTTTTTTTTTTTTTTTTTTTTTTTTGGTGATAATAAGGATTTATTGATACAAGCTACTATTTAACCCATAGCTGGAGGGTGAAGATGGGTGGATTCGTACCATTCCCAAATATATTTTGCGCGTAAGGCAATATAATGAACCCAACTGGAATTGGAACTCGACTCTCCAAACCGTTATCCATTACACCACCCATGCATCCGAGCTTACTGCACCTGGTATTCCCAAACGGTCATCCATCTATTAAAATCGTGAAGGGGATGAATGCTCATCAGAACAATTGTAATGAAATATTTATAGAAAAGGCACAGGGAAGCTATGTTACGGCAGTGGGAAGTCGAGATGCCAGGTTAGGACGGATAACATTGCATATTCTTCTGCAGATATATAGCAGATGCTCTAGATCAGATGTGATCACAATATTCGTTGCACAGCCAGATGTTAGACTTATAAATCTACAAGATAGATTCTGGCGCGAAAAATTGTCTCGAACGACTCAGTGAACCGACTTTCCTAGCAGCAGGCTTAGCACTTGATTCAATATAAACTTTCCATTTTATATCATAAGTGGAAAACGTTTGACTAAGAAGGCGCAATGACTCCTGGAGGTTAGCATCAGCCATGCTGATGGAAGACAAAAAATGGTTCTTTTATATAATTAACGGAAATCAGTTTTGGAAGCTTTAAAATGAACATGCCGTTTCTCACCCCAATCAGCATACTTTAGGAAAAAATTCTTAACTTAAATATCCACTATTTTAACATAACAGTTAATGAGTGGATGTGAATGTTTCAAATTAGGAGAGGAAATGCTCAAAAATTAAGAGTAAGAGTTTTTAGAGATTAGAGTCGAAACGTCCCGAGAGTTCATTCTGGGGAAAAAGAAGCTTATTTGGTTGCAATTATCAAATCCTGACAGAAGTAACATAGAAAGGAGAATAAGAAGTGTATAAAATGACTTTTGTTATATCTATGTAAATTATAACCATTCTGAGACAGACAAAATGAACAATTTCTGAAGTTTATGGGATGGGAATTAGCATTATTTATACGGATAATTGTCCTCATCTTTGTTGTTGTTATCACAACGTTTCGGCTTTTATGCTCTCTGGCTTTTATTAGGTGAGTAGGGATACAAAAAGACGAATATCTCACCATTGATAGAAATGAAGTCACGTGTCGACCACTTAGTGACGTCACTTCATAGAAAATGGGCAGTCCTACAGTCAGTTAATTCAGTCAAACCGAGAAATTGCTTCTTTTACTCGGACCGAGTGGATAAATCTGCTTCCTTCAGCCACGTGGTGCAGCTAACAACCCTTTTTTTCTACATATCTTCAACAGATATAAAAATACCTCCCTGTTCGCATCCTTCAATTTTCGTCGTTTTCAGCTTGTCCTCGTAGCGATCAGATAAATCCGGTCAACTCGAATCTGGAATCCTAAATATGGCTTCTCCAGAAACACAGAATAATCTCCAAGATCCAGTTAGGAATTGTTATGCTCTTTTCGTGATTTTTCACTTGACATATAGGTGTTATATTTTCTCTGTGTGGGACAAATGTAAATATGTATATATAATTTTTTGTATTACGTAACGCTATAAAACTCTCCTTGGCAACCAAGCATGTTTATCATTCCTTTCCCTTTCAGCGATTCCATTTCATCTGTGTTATTATATTGTTAATATAATAATATTATGTTAATATAATAATGCTCTTAATGGGAGGAACGAAATTGAAAAATATTCATTCAACTTTTTGCTAGTCGATCGGAGTAAATTTCAGGAATTTCGAACATAATATTAAATCTACTGGAATCAATTCTCGTTCCGTTGACCATGTTTTTTGGATAACTATTTAATACTGCTCAGTTCTGAAATGACGCGATCAACATACACGCAATTCGCCTTTCTCTCTGCCGGGCGTCGATAGCCTTTTAAATCGCCAACTGATACCAACTCTGTAAAGCGATCGGATACCTAGTCAGGTATAAGCGAAACAGTCTCTCTGTGGCTGACGTTAATATATATATATATATATATATATATATAGGATTAATACAAATATAAAAGTTGTCAATTAGTTGATTGATATATATATATATATATATATTTATATCAAGAGGCGAGAATGAAAGAATGGCTAACAGAGGGGAGGGGATTGCAATAAATAAGAAGATATAAAATGCGATAAACAGAGATACGTTTACAAATTTATCGAGCAAGTAAATATTTAGATGAAGAGATGGATAGCGAGACCAACAGACAGACACATATGAAGAGAGAGATTTGTAGATGTGAAGAAAAGGGGGGAAATAAATAAATATATATATATATATATATATATATATATATATATATATATATATATTAAAACGATTTTCGTAGAGTCATTGAAAAAAAAGAATGGAATCAATTATCAAATTTATACTTTGAGAAATTTTTGCAACGAATGCCAAAAATTTGTGCTGCAGTAATCAAGGCTAAAAGGATATTTTGACGAGAAAATTTAATCATAATTTTTTTTTTCATTTGTCATCATAAAATTTCTAATAAAATATCATGTCACACTTTTAGTCACTTATAATAAATCTTTCTTATTTAAAAGTATAGGTATGAAATCAAACTTTTAAACTCTAGAATATATAAATATTACCATGTTTCAAATATATAAAAGCTATTATATAATTAAGTTAAATTAATATATATATATATATATATATATAGATAGATAGATAGATAGATAGATAGATAGATAGATATAGAGTAAATATATATATAGAGAGAGAGAAAGGGAGAAAGAAATATAAAGAGAGAGATTAAGAGAGCTACATATGAAGGGAAAGAGAGAGACATGAAGTGGTCCAATATAAAAAGAAAGATATGAAGTGAGGTAAATATGAAGAGAAAGAGAGAGATAAAGTGAGAAAATATATATATAGAGAGAGAGAGATAGAAAAATATAAAGGGGTATAAATTTGAAGGGATGGAGAGAGAGATATGAAGTGGGACAAATATGAACAAATGGGGAGAGAGATTAATTGAGAAAATATATGTATTGAGTATATTTTAGCAGCATGTTTCATTGATGCATTTTTTATTGAATAATTTATACAAGTTTTGTCTACGTATTTTCAAATGAATCATTTCATATTTACGGACAAGCTTTTTGGTGTCATTTTAAAGGAAGAGAGAAAATTACCGTGTTGATATATATATATATATATATATATATATATATATATATATATATATATATATATATATATATATATATATATATTCTTTTTATATGCCTTGCCCCTTCGGGACGTAGGCGATCATAGCCCCCACATCTTTCTGTTCCTTGTAGCTCTTAATATTTTTTATCTTTCTGTTATTTCTCCTAAACTCAATTCTGCCATCCATTTGCTCAAGCTCGTCAAATATGTCGCGCGCTGTTTTTCACTGTCACTCTTTCCCTCAATCTGTCTCGAGAGATAATTAATAAGGACAGAAAGAAAGAAGTGGTAAAGAGGGAAAGGAAATAAATATATGAGCGAGTGAGAGAGAGAGAGAGAAAGAGAAATTAAATAATAGAACAAGGGAGGTAAATAGGAAGAGAGTGAGAGGAGAGATATGAAGTGAGATACATTGAAGAGAGGGAGAGGTTGAGGGCAATAAAATGAAGAGAGAGAGAGAAGGAGGGAGGTAGGAAGAGGGATACACGAAAGAGAATATGAGAGTGAGAATAAATGATAAAGAATGAATGAGAGAAAAGAGAGTGTATAACAGAAATAAGAGACAGAGCAAGAAATGAATAGAGAGGGGGTGAGAGTGTGTGTGTGAGAGAGAGAGAAAATGAGAGAAGTGATAGAGAAAGGGAGAAAAAAAGAATATGACAGAATATTAGAGTGAAAGAGATAGGGGGAGAGGGAGAGAAATAGAATAAGTTGTAGTACCAAAGAGAATTTGTAAAAAGGAGATGCCAATCGCAAACAGAAGCGGTCCTGGCTCTGGATGCTGATTTCCCGTCAGAATTCCTACAATTTTTTTCACTTTCATCATTTTTTACTTATTTCCCCAATTGATAGCTTACCTATTACTTCTGGTGTAAAACGCATCGCCACTGTTTGGTTTGACACATACCGACGTGCCAGTAAACGGGGCTTTTACAGGGCATGGTGGCGCAAAACGTACAGGTATGCGGGTCGAGGCTTTTGAATCGGCGAATCGGACATGGATTTTCACGTGAACATAGCTGAACGTTAATGTTGACCTTTATCGTGGATTTTTAGATATTTCATAGATAGATAGATAGATAGATATGAACAGACGGAAGACTTTAGATAGATAGATAGATAGATAGATAGATAGATAGATAGATAGATAGATAGATATGAACAGACGGAGATAGGGATGAACAGATGGGAATAGATAGATAGATAGATAGATAGATAGATGGATAGATAGATAGATAGATAGATAGATGCTATTGTTGCTCTTCAGTTTTTAATATTTAGCGCATTATTTTGAAAAATCGCCCCGCTTTTAAACACATTAAACTACAGTAATTTACCGACCAACGTGTTATGTCAGGCGTTAAAGATCTTTAGTAGTACTAGTAGTAGTAGTATATTTAAATATGCTCTATTAAATAGAATAGATAGGGAATATATGTTAAGTCTTTTGATAAGTCCCTTTTGGTGCCGAATAGTTGTTTAACATTAGGGAGAATCTTGTAAAATGTGTTATTTTGCTTAACAATCATCGTTGGTCAATGAAAAACAAGGTAGAGGTATAAGTGCCAAAGTTGAAACAAATTTTTGTAATAACGGCTTGTTTCTTTTTATGTAAAGGTGACTCCAAGATTTGTAATCTTTTTCTTCGTTATTTTTTATTTATTTATTTATTTATTTATTTATTTTGTATTTGGAGTGGCAGAGAACTGTT